TGAGAGATTTTGAGCTGGAAAAAGTAGAATATGTGGAACTCAAGGACACAATACACAAAAAAGGCAAGGGAGATTATTTTTCCATTCAGAAAAAGAGGAAAATATCTGGAAGTGAGTGGAGAGGAAAAGGTTAATTGGATGGGCACATCGGGCAGATAGTAATACAGGTGTTGTCTGTGAGGACGAAAAGGGCTTAAATCAAAGCACCACTAAACAAGGGATCACATATATTTTTGACCTTCTCAAGAATATCAGTGGCGAAAAAGTTCGATAGTTCTGCCGATTACGGAAAAAGCAGATGTCAAATTGCAAGTGATTAAGCAGGGAAGAATCCACTCTGGAGAAAAGCATATATAAATTATCTGAATGTGGCAAAAGCTTTTGTTAGAACAGATCCTTTCAGTTCGCATAAGAACCCACCCAGAAGAGATGCCCTACAAGTGCTTCCAATGTGGTAAATCCTTTAAGAAAAATGGCAACTTGGTGATACATCTGAGGACTCACAGCAGGAAGAAGCCATATGACTGTCCAAATTGTGGGAAATATTTCATTGGATATTCCCATTTTGTGAGACACCTGAGGACTCATGCAGGAGAGAAACCTTTTGAATGTCATGATTGTGGGAAAAGTTTCAGTTATAATTCCGAACTGGTAAGACATCAGAGAACTCACACAGGAGAGAAACCCTTTGAATGTCCTCTTTGTGGGAAAAGTTTCAGCCAGAATTCTGACCTCGTGAAACACCAGAGGACTCACACAGGAAAGAAACACTTTGAATGTCCTGATTGTGGAAAAAGTTTCAGTTACAATTCTCAACTGGTAAGACATCAGATAACTCACACAGGAGAGAAACCCTTTGAATGTCATCTTTGTGGGAAAAGTTTCAGTCAGAATTCTCATCTGGCAGAACACCAAAGGACTCACACAGGAGGGAAACCTTTTGAATGTCCTGTTTGTGGAAAAGGTTTCAGGCAGAATTCTCACCTGGCAAAACACCACAGGACTCACACAGGAGGGAAAACTTTTGAATGTCCTCTTTGTGGGAAAAATTTCAGGCAGAATTCTCACCTAGTGAGCCATCAGAGGACTCACACAAGAGAAAAACACTTTGAATGTCCTCTTTGTGGGAAAAGTTTCAGTCAGAATTCTCATCTGGCAGAACACCAGAGGACTCACACAGGAGAGAAACCCTTTGAATGTCCTGTATGTGGGAAAGGTTTCAGCCAGAATTCCAACCTGGTAACACATCAGAGGATTCACACAGGAGAAAAACCCTTTGAATGTCCTCTTTGTGGGAAAAGTTTCAGACAGAATTACGACTTGGTGATACACCAGAGGACTCACACAGGAGAGAAACCCTTTGAATGTCCTGTATGTGGGAAAAGTTTCAGCCAGAATTCCAACCTGGTAACACACCAGAGGACTCACCCAGGAAAAAAGCCCTATGAATGTCCTGACTGTGGGAAAGGTTTCAGGCAGAATTCCAGTCTGCTGAATCATCAGAGGACTCACACAGGAGAGAAACCTTTTGAATGTCCTCTTTGTGGGAAAAATTTCAGGCAGAATTCTCGCCTAGTGAGCCATCAGAGGACTCACACAAGAGAAAAACCCTTTGAATGTCCTCTTTGTGGGAAAAATTTCAGTCAGAATTCTTATCTGGTGGAACACCAGAGGACTCACACAGGAGAGAAGCCGTTTGAATGTTCTGTTTGCAGGAAACGTTTCAGTCAGAATTCCAACCTTATGAAACACCAGAGGACTCACACAGGAGAGAAACCCTTTGAATGTCCTATTTGTGGGAAAAGTTTCAGTCAGAATTCCAGCCTGGTGAAACACCAGAGGACTCACACAGGAGAGAAACCCTTTGAGTGTCCTGTTTGTGGAAAAAAATTCAGTCAGAATTCCAACCTGATGAAACACCAGAGGACTCACACAGGAGAGAAACCCTTTGAATGTACTGTTTGCGGGAAAAATTTCAGTCAGAATTGCAGCTTGGTGAAACACCAGAGGACTCACACAGGAGAGAAACCATTTGAATGTCCTATTTGCAGGAAAAGTTTCAGTCAGAATTGCTGCCTGGTGAAACACCAGAGAACTCACAAAGGAGCGAAACCCTTTTAATATTCTGATTATGGGAACAGTTTCAGTCGGAATTCCTGACTGCTGAATCATCAGAGGATTGACCCAGGAGAGAAACTGTTTGCATGTGTAGAATATGGGAGAGTTTCAATGGGAATTCTGACCCTGTGAAACACCAGAGGACTCACACAGGTGGGAAACCTTTTGAGCAACCTGATTGTGGGTATATTTCTGTCAGAATTCAAACCTGGCGATATACTGGAGGACTTATAGAGACTAATCTGACTGTGGATGATGCTACTGGCATAAATAGTTCCTTATTGCCCAAGTGGAAATCCAACTGAGGGAAAAGTTGATGAGTTTATAAAAGGCTTTAATTTCATTTCTC